AGAAGAAATTTCATTGATAATTTAGGAATTTAGTAGTATATTACAAGAATAAGAAAGCACAACCAGGTAGATTTTATTCCAGAAGTTCTAAGATAATTAAGAATTAGAAAATCTATTAATATATCACATAATATAGAAGAAAAACCATATCATCTTGATAAATTAAGAGAAGGTATTTGATAAAATTTAGCATCCATCCCAGTTAAAACTTAAAGCAGATTAGGAAGAGAAAGGCAATTCTTTATTTGATAGTTATTTTTGGGCCATCACTAAACAAATACAGACATTTTTATGCAAAGCAGAAACAAGTCAGAGTTGCCAGTTTTCCCCACCTTTATTTAACATTATTCGGGAGTAAGTTAGGTCAGTATGACTTGAAACCAAAACAAGAAGTACAGTCATGGTGTCTAGGCTGGGGAGCAAAGTTGTCATTATTTAGAGATACTATGGGTTTATACATAGATAACTCAGTAGAATCAACTAAACAGCATTAAAACTAACAAGAGAATTCAGTAAAGCAACCAGATACAGACTAAAGTTTTTCTTTGAAGCAGAATTCACCCTAACCACCCGTTACCTCTGCTAACACAATAAAGAAAAATGGTGGAGAATGAGAAACTTGTCCATTCTGTTTAACATCCTAAATTTCTAAAACTCCGTCGTTGTCCTGAGCTGTCCTTACTTTACTGTCTCCGTTTAATTGTCTGTAATTGAGCTGTTCTCTCTGCTAGAACTCTTTCAGTGTTAAATCTAAGGAGTAGCAGCTCCAAAACCTTTAAAAAAGCTTAGTAGCTATATAGGTGGAGGTTTGGGGATGGGTAGAAACCTTTTCTTAAAACTGTTTTCTTAGAACTTTCCATAGACTGAGGAAAACTGCCAGTTGTCCACATCAAAGATCACCCTATTTCCACCACTAACAGTCCCCCATGGAGATTGTGGGGTCCATACCTGGAAAGAGTTTCTTTTATTAAAGCCAGAAATTTAGCATTGGCTAAAACATAGTACTTAATTCAAGAAGCTATACAAAAATACCTATTCTCTGGTTTTTGAATTCTGCATTTGATGAACTATATCACATAAAAGATGTATAGTATCTCAATCTTCTCTTGAGATCCATGACTTTTAATGTATGCTTGCTAATATGTAACTATCAAAAAGGAGTTGATGTGGCCTTATCTTTTTACAGTAATGCACATGATATGTAATAATCAGCCATTTCTTACAGGGAAAAGGAAATGGAGAATTTTATCAGTGTTATATGGGCTCACAGAAACAATTTAAAATTACAAAACTGTCACCAGCAATGGGTTGTAAATTTAGACTATCGGCCAAAAATGACTATGGTACAAGGTAAGAAAGATTTTATAAAATAATGTAGATATTTTAGATTATCCAGTCAACTTCAGTTGTATAATTATTCACAGTCCAAATTATTCACTAAAACTTCTGCTTAGTTTATCCCTTTGTCGATGTGGTTAAAATATGTTACCAGCCTAGCAAAAGCTGTAAGAGAGTATCTTAGTTACATAGGGACCACAGGAAAGATTAAAACTAACAGATTTACCAAGATTTTCACATATAAATTAAATTTTCATATGCGAACTAGATATTTCTCTACT